AATAATTTTGGCCCTAAGAGTATCAATTTGCATTGCAGCATTTTTTGTATCTTGTAGCATAAAGGACTCAAATGGAATTTCTGTGAGAGAAAAGAAAATCATGATAAAATATCCCAAAATGTATTTTATTGAACTGTGCTAGAGAGAAGGAAAGCTTAGTGTGGAAATAAAGAAACTTTTTTTTTTTTTTTTTTTTTTGCAAAAGTGAGAAAAAAATATCCCTAAAGAAGGATTGTTTTTGGAGAAAGTAGAATTTTTTGACATAGACTTTATTTTATTAACATAATTCTGGAGTATGTTCTGCAAGGCTAATTATCAACCCCATTCAATTTGGCAGACCTGGCGTAGTGGTTCAAGTAGATGAATCTCATATTGCTAAAAGAAAATATAGATGCCTTTATGTCCAAGAACGAGGGGTACTTGGTACCTCAAACTTGGCTACCAGGAATCTTTGGGTAACCTGTCTGCAGATATACTTCTCTTGATAATAAAACAAAAAATAAAGCCAGGAAGCCTCATCCATTCTAACAACTAGAAGGATAATTCAGGTACAAGTTCACCCTGTTTATATTCACCAAGAAATGAGCCATAGCTGAAACTTATGGATCTGACTACACTTTCACACACAAACCATGTGGAAAGTGTGTGGAAAATGCAGAGTAAGTTTAAATGCATGCATGAAGTGATCCTTGATCTGTTTGGATGAATTCATGTGATGTATGCAATATGCCATTATCCACAATGATTCCTTTAATAATATCTTGGACCATTTATCTGAAAAGTTCTACATTCGAAATTTCATAATTCAACAATTTTCTTGTTTTTAGTGTTTTCTTAGTTTTTTTTTTCTTTTTAACACAATTATTTAAAATATTTTCATAAAGTAAATCACATCAAAATATATACATCCATTTTTTTCTAAGAAAATAGCCAAGAATCTTCTATAACAATCTCATTCAAAGCTATAATATGAATGTGAAGCACAGTTGGCCCAGATGGGCTAACTTTGGAAATAGAGGAATGATGATGTATAACTTGGCCCAATCTGTTTCTGATAAGTAATTACGGTCTTTTTGGAAGTGTATGACCAAGCTGAGTTAATAAAAAGTGGAATTTCTCAAAAATTGGGGGTTTGGGGTGGGATTTCCTTATTTGGGCATTGCCATGCCAAGGTACAAAAATCGCTCTAATTTCAGTTTGGATAAAGATTAGAGGTTGGTTGAGGGCTGGTGGGAAGCATATGCTTAAGGCCAATTTAATTGTATGATAATAAAAGTTTCAATTGTATAAAAAGTTGAATATTAGGGCTGTATAACATCAAAAAAGACAGACATGGGTTCAGACAGACAGAGCAGGATAGTTATGTTAAAGAAAATCCAAACTTTCTTCAAAACAAAGATCCAAGAAACTACTATTCATCAAAACACCTGAAAACACCTAAAAATCTTTATATTATGAAGTCGTGGTAAAGTTTTGTGAGTTTCAAAATGACAATTTGGTGTACATACTGTTATTAATCAAGAAATATATCTTCAACAAGGCTGGCATACCATTCTTTGGCAAATTGAACAGCCAAGAATGTGAGCGTATGGTAAAATCTGTGGCACCACACTCTGTACAGTACTTTTTTTTTTTGGCTGACACTGAGTTATAAGATTGGTTAAGACAGGGTCAGACCATACAAGGAGTCTTGACATCAGTGAGCTGATCAACAGCAAAGATTTTCCTGGATAAAAATTGCAAGTAATTTCTAATGTCCCTGTTGTTTGCCTTCAAACCATCTTCAGTTTCCCAAGACTATAACATCATTCAAACCAATCAGTTCTACAGAGTGGTGTAGGGTTCCATGCAAAGTATGATTAATTCTTAACCATGGAAAGTTGTCACACAAATTGAAAGCAGTTGAGTCACAGAGATCTTTGAATTTTTTCAGCTTGACTTTATGCGATGATACAATTAAAAGGATTGTAGATAATTGATGATGGAGAAGGTGGTTATCCTTGTGTTTCTGATCAGCTAACTTTTCTATGGCTTCAATCACCTCTTCAGAGAAAAATTGCCTTCCTTGTGGTCCATTAGTTGAAGTCCCACCTTTCCCATCAGATGTATTGACTGTGAAAATAAAGTCCTGTTCCTCGTGAATGATTTCAAGAACTCAATCCTTGGATGTATGGATGGGGGTCCCCAAGCAGTTTTTTTTTTTTTTTTTCTCTCCACTGCCAAAAGAACATTAACATTACAATAACTTTGCATGGAAATTCCCAAAGGAAATTAACATAAATGATTGACTTGAGAAAGGTTTATAAAATTCTTAGTGTTTAACCAATACACCTTTGATATTGGTAAAGTGTGGTGTATGGATTTTAGCCATTTTTAGTGTATCTGATGAATTAGAGCAAGAAAATTACTGCATTTTGAGTAAAATCTGACCAATTTTGGGTAAAAATCAGCAAAGATAATAAATTTTTTTATTTTGATGGCATTCTGATGTAATTCATAGCTAATATCCTGTCTTTAACCTCAAAATAGTAATATTACAACCATTTCCATCCATTTGGAGCCTAAATTTTAATCCTAGCATACACACACAATTTACCAATTAGATAAATTTACAGTCTCTGAAATAAACTTTGGTCCTGCATTAAAGAAGAAAGGGCTAAGAGTCACATGGCAAATTGAAAAGATTCTAAATGAGCTTAGTTTGAATTTTTCAAAAAATATGTACTTTGGTATGTGAATCTTAATTGTTTTTGATATATTTTATGTTTTTGACCCAAAAAATAGTGTAATTTTGGGGAAAATTGGACATATTCTTGACAAATATTGGAGCAATTCTGATTTTACTTTGTCAAAATCATGAATCAATGATTTTTCCAATCAGAATTCAATTATATGGTATTCAAAATTAGTATTTCCTCAGCTAACCATAACAGATTTTAGCTCCTTCATTTATTAGGGTGATGTAGCATTTAAAAATATGTGGTCAGGATATGACCAAGAAATAGCTAAGATTTTATTATATTTCCGTAACTTTAAAATAACATAAAATCAGTTCTATATGTGCTGGAGATTTTTTCTTTCTTTTTTTTTGTTTTTCAGAAATTTAATGTAGATTCATTTTATAAACAAAGATATAAGTAAGAAATAACATGATTTTTTACCAATTTCCACCTATGGGCTCAGTGTGTGAAGGAAGAGGACTATTGAGGAATGCAATCCCTGGCAAAAATTATGGAATTAGCTACACTTAGATGATGTTCACTTAGTTTATTTGCTGCTAGATAAAAACTCTAACAACAGATGCAAAACATTTTTTTAATAGTTGAACATTCAAACATTGACACTATCATGGCATGTGGATGAAAGTGCTATTCAATGATGAATCAAGAATCTGCATTGACCAAGGTAACTATGATGGAACTTTTGTCTGGTGTCATTCAAATGAAACATAAAAAATGGCTGCTTGAAGAAAATAAGTAAATTTCCCATGTCATAGAATTGGATGTCATTTAAAGGAACAGGGATGGTAATCATTACCTCAACGCTCCATATGTGTACATTGAAATCCTGGATAATTTTCTTATTTCATCAATAAAAATTGGTTTGGCAATGAAGTCATTTTTCAGGATGATAATGTATCTTGTAGCAGAACAAAGGGGACTAAAGCTTTTCTTTAGGAAAAACATACAAAATCAATGACATGTTCAGATCTAAATCCATTTGGGAATTTATGGTGAAATTTCTTTAAAAAAAAATGGTTCATGAGAAGGTTCAATCCACCAAAGAGCTATTAACTGCCATTTGAGAATATTGAAACCATTTCAATAACTAATATTGCTTCAAATTAGTGAAATACATACTTGAATGAATTAAAGCTGTCATAGAAATATTGATTTTAATTTTTCTGTTGATTCCTCCCCCTCTTAATATTGAGTTATTCTATATTTTCCCTTGAATGACTCAGAAAAAAATTATACCATTAATTTAAATAATTTAATCTAGTTTAAGATATATTTTATGAATCCAGAAAATGCTGAACATCCTTTAAATGTTCTAATTCTATATTTATTGCCAAAGGTTGTAGATTTTGGAATTTTGTGACTTTTGTGTTAATTTTGTCATGCTTTGTGTGCTTCTACTATTTAATCAGTTGTAATTTAAATAAATGTCTTTAACTGACCCTTGTACATGTAATGAAATTTTAAGATAGTTTTTGTTTAATAATCATTTCCAAAAACAATTACATTTTTCAATTTAATTTCTTCTGCTTTACACTTACTGTTTTATGTATCTGTTCTGTAATAATTTTTGAAACCCTAATAGCAGTTCAAGAGTATTTTAGAATAAGTGTAATGGTTTACCTATTCACCTTTTGATTTGAACAAATACTAACTTAATGTATTTTGATAGTGGAAGAAGCTTCCTTGCTATAGATTTCAATCACTGAATCTGTATTACTTTTTTAAAGCATGTGTTTCATTAGCCACAATTTAAAAAAAGATCTATCACTACCAATTAATAACAATTGCAAACAGTAGCAATTAATGATGCCTTGTGTGTGTTTATTTTTTATATTACTCTTTAGCCAACATTGTTCTATGAAAGAGACCATTTCAAATTATTTTTGTAGTTGAATTTTAAACTGAACCTAAGACTTAATTTTTTCTATTGGAAAGAGTAATTTTTCAAACATTAAGCGAATGCCTATTTATCTTTCTTTTTTAAAAAGTAGTTATTTCAATTTGTACAAGTTCTTCTAAGGTAAAGGGAAAGTTCTCTATCCCAATGCACTTCCTAAAATCAGTATTTTAATGACCAAACATCAGAAAACTGATTTTTGGTCAAAAACTTTTCTTTTATATATTATTTATATATTATTACATTATTGAAATACTTAGATTTTAATATCCAAATATTTATAAGAATTGTTTGACATTTTGTTTCTTCGTGAAACCAAATGTATTTGCTTGAATAAAGTTTTAAGTATTTTTATCTTGCAGGCTCTTGATGGTTTTGTGTTCTTAGTAAACTGCCAAGGTATTGTTGAACATGTATCTGAGAAGATTTCATTGTATCTCAAGTATACCCAGGTACATACACACACACACACATATATATATATATATATATATATATATATATATATGTATTATTGCTATTTGTTTAAATTATTCAAATCTGTTCCTTAAAAAATTAGTTTACTTTATTTTTTAATTATTTATTTGATGATTATAAATTTTAAACATCTTAAACTTAAACATCTTTACAATTTGTAAATCCAGATTTAAGTTTTGTCAATGGCAGATTCTCTTGTATCATTATTAATTTTTGTTTTATTTTCCAGGAAGAATTAATTGGAAAGAGTATTTACAACATTATTCATGTTGGAGACCATGCACAATTTAGCAGCAAGCTACTTCCTATGTCCTATGGCAGTAAGCTATTTCTATTTCTAGAATTGTCTATTGTGACAGTTAAACATTTACAGCTGTTAGCATTCTGATATTACATTTGAGTTGACTGTTTTATTTTATATCAGAAAGTTAAAATGTATGCATTTACAAGCAATAGTTTTCATTGCATTACAACAACTGACTTGATAATATTACCTCTTCAGTAAAGATGACATCAGCACTTCCATTATACTTTTATTTTAGTTGTCTTTATATTAGTTTGTATCCCTTGTCCTCATTTTAGTGTTTGCCGCCACACATACATGCACAGTGGCAGCAGTTGAAAAGTTAAAATTATATTGATCTAAAATTAAATTGTTGTGCTGATATATTAAATAATGATATCAAAGTGACTTCAAAATAAGTCTATCCTGTGCTGTATTGGTTATTTTAAGATTTTACTTAAATTTTAAATCAAAAATTCATTTAACAAACAGATCGCAAGATTGGTTTCCTAATGCTCATTCTGAATAGCAGTGTAATAACACAAAACATCTATAAAATAAGTCATTAAAAATATGGTGGGTATAATGATTGCTGGTAAAAGGGAGAATGAAAAATTTGTGTGAGAAACAAATTCTGACAAGTGAATATCTGGTTATTTTTCCAGTGAGATAACATATGTCACCTTATCTTCCTTCTGCCTTTCAATATTTACAAGATATTTCCAAAACGTTTGTACAAGAACCACTGTCCTCTTTTTATATGATTAAATATTCAGAATAATAGCTGCTCTGGCAAATTGGCTGTTGCTATATTTAATGTTAAATGAGTTCCAAAGTGACAATTACCTACTCCATTAAATACATCTGTCTGAAAAGCAAAAAAGTTGGTTGTTTATAAATTATATAAGTTTACTTCGAATTGGCAAATTTTCTTGTAGAAAATAACTTTGTAGTACAAAGTGCAAAATATTTATTAGACATTTACCACTGGATATTAATTGAACACTGCAACTAAACTGTGTAATATTTAGTTTTCATTCTTAAAGTTGTAGATGTTCAAAGCAGTATTAAAAGAAATAAATTTTATCAAATCTTTTATTTTTAATAAAATTTAAAAATCTTAACCTGACAAAAACCCTCCTCAAATTATTAATAGTGCAAGTTTATTGAACACTAAAATCTTGAATCTATTTATATAGCTATTGTTATACATGGCCCAAAGACTGAAAGACTATATCAGTGATTAGAGAGTGTACAATTCCTCTTATCAGAAATTATATATTTTCAGTTCAAACTATACATTACAAACTGATGAAAAACTCTGGAATAATTCTTTTGTCAAAACTGACGTTATTTTTGTTATCTTGCTTACATTGGCTTACAATTTTATATTGTCCATTGAGCTCTTTTCTACATAAAAGACACAATAGTGTTCTTGCAAAAAACAAAACAAAAACAAATTGAGTGTGGGATATGTTTGTGGTTGACAAAACCAGCAAAATGTAATGTTTACACTGTTATATTTTGTGAGGTAATAAACAATGAAAGGAAAATGTAATGAAAAAAGTTGGCGATCAACTTTATACCAGTTAGAGCGATTTCAATTCATAAGGTTTTTCTAAAGACTAAGAAATTTAGTCTATTTATACCAAATGTTATTCCATTTATAAAAATATGGAGTGACACTTGTCATCCTATAAAACTTCATGACACCTCTCACCCACCAATCTTAATATCCTTAAGATGTTAAATTCAACAACAGTGATGTGTGTTTTTGGTGGCTCTTCTAGGATTATGAAATTCAAATTCAGTTCTTGTACACTGGCATGGTATTTTTTTTATGTTTGCTTTGTTTACTAACATAACCTGAATCTTGTTTTTTTTATTGGCCCTCTTCCAGTCTATGTAAGTCATTTCCAAGTGGAACAGATCCTGATATCCATGCTTCTTGAGTGATAAACTTTGGTAGGAATGGTAATTAATTATCTGGGAACCTTCTGGATTCATAATAGTTCTTTGATTGTTTGGTAGTAGGTTAGTGTTTTTTTTAATGTTCCAGCTGTTCATGTTTCAAAGCTCCTTTAAATAGAATTTCTTGAGGGACATGAGCAAAAAATGGTGCCAATGTGTCCAGTGTTGTCTTCCATTTATGAAATCACTTGGTAAATATCTACTAGAGAGAGAGAGAGCTCCTCATTCATGTATTACATGGGAGGTTGCTTTATCTGATTGAAAATTTAAACCAGGCATTCAGTAACTATTTAGATCAAGGTGCAAAGTGTTCCAGTAAGATGAGTGATTCCATGGATTTTGTACCAATGTAGAGACACCTCAAATGTAAATGTAAGCTTACTTGGAATAGGCATCCACTCATACCAGCCAGTTGCATCCCATAAGATTTATAACATGATCCATAATTCATAACATGCACTTTGCTCCAGATGGTAGATTTTGCAAACACTGGTCTTTACTTTCAAATCTGTCTTAGTTGCTGCAGCCATAGCATTTGATCCTGAAGACTAACGATAATAATGATTTTAATTGTTAGAATAGGTAACTGTGTCCAATGTTTTTAAAGGCTGGAACTCTGCTGAACACCATTTTAGTTATCCTCTCTTCGTACAAAGTAGAACTTGAATGAAAACTGGATTTTTCTGGCAGGAACTAACAACTGATTGTGTGAATTACAAAGATAATATTGTGACGGACATTGAAAGCAGATAGCCTAGACGCGCATATGAAGGTTAATTTCCGCCTAGCAACAAAATAAAGATTACGTGAAGTCTTATGACATTTTGGGAAGGCAGGTCGAAAGGTCGACTGACCCAATTACCCGTAACGGAAACTGTCTAGACAGAGGATGCAAGTACGCGCCAAAAAACTAAGACACGTGACAATAAAAGATTCACTCGAGGATCAGTTGTTATCTGGACTTTGAAAAGGCAAGACCGAAGCCGAGATGCTAGTGGTTCACGAACGGAAAGATAAGATGCATTCGATAGTGATGACTTATTTAGTTCTATCCAGGCAACTCCGGACACAGAATATAAGGAAATAACGTGTTCGAAAATCCCAATGTGAAGACGATTAGAAAAGATATATGTTGATGATTCAATCTACAGATACCTCCGTTATAAGCTAACTAAAAAAAGAAGAAGAAAGTGTACATCCCTGTTACAAGGCGAGCTGTTTTCAGAAGAAGAAGAAAGTGTACATCCCTGTTGCAAACCGAGCTGTCTACAGAAGAAAGGAAGGAAAGAAAAAGACGAAACAAGAGAGGAAGAAAGTATATACCTCTATTACAGACTGGCAGTGTACGAAATGGTGTTTGTGCCGAGAAAAGAAAGGACATTTATATATATATATATATATATATATATATATATATATATATAGAAAAAAAAAAAGAGAGAACTGAATACAAAAGATAAGTAATCACATTTTGGATCCGTAGTATAAAAGATATACACACACACACACACACACACACATATATGAATATTAGGTTTTTTTTCGCAAACACCTTTCCACATGTAAAATAATAGTTATAATTACTATCCCATCTCTTTTATGTATGTGCGTTGGCTTCTGCATTCAATTCATAGTAATTCATACTTGTACTTTATATGTTCGGATTCAGTTGAATCCATTTGGTGTTCGGCGAATTTGATATCCCAAATAAGTTCAAGATCTGGTCGTCGGATAGTTTAACTCATACTTATCTGTTCTTTTATATTTTGATATATGTATATTTGTATATATTAAAATTATTGTATCAAATCGCTAAGCCTTATGTTCCTCCTTGTATTGTGGATCAGTATTTGTGTTGAAAACGAAGCGGACCTGGGAAAGATTACTGTTCGATTATCCCAATGGAACAGTAGTCTTAAAAATACTTTTTTTTTTTTTTTACCAATTGTCCACTCTCTCTCCACAGGTGTGAGAGTGTATATATCTCCTAGTCGGCATATGGTCGCCCTATAACCAGTTCGTCGACTTGGGCACATGACAATATCCATATCTTCCTCCATTTCCTCCTCATTGAACTGAATGTTATTCTCAATAAAAAGTCTGTTGAGAGCCTGAGCATTGTTAAATTCCAGAATAATCATATTTGTTTAACATCAATTTCCTGAAAATATTCAGGGGCTGATTTAATTCCAAATGGTATGTATGGATGTATAGTAATTGGCTAGAGTGTTGGCCTTCTCTTATTTGGGAAGCCATACATTATTGAAGTGCCAAAAGAGTTGAAATGTGTCAATTACCAAAATCTTGATTACAACATCATATGCTTCATTCACAAATGAATGAAATATGCCAGAGTTTGTAGAGAATGAACCAAGACTCAAGCTGAAAGTTTTTTTTTTTTTCAACTTTGAATAGCTTGGAAAATTTCTAACAAGTTGTTTACAGGTTATTTACAGTGTATCCATTGATGTGATGATTTGAGTAAGTTGGCCCATTAAAGATAGCATTGCTTGAAGTAGCCTGTAACAAACTTAGTTTATTATTATCTCAGTAGATTTAGCATTGGCATTCTTGGCGAGAAAATACTGTGTCTTCAGCAGTGGATTTCCATTTGCTAAATTGTACTGGTCCTTCTCTGTTTGTCCAACTTGATCTGTTTCTACTGGCTTCAATGTTGATTTCAAAGTTAACCTTATGTTTATTGAAATGAGCATCATAACTGCTTTGATTGTAGGAGAAAAACCTTGATGATATTTATCCTTACATAGGTGAATTTTGCTGTTGCTTCTGCTTAGATATATACATTGTTTGAAGATGTCCAATATTCTTACAGAAACAGCAGAAAACATTGATTAGGTTTTGCTAGTTCACTTAGGTGGTATTACTATTTTCTTCTAAAAGATTCCTGAGGACTGGTTCACTGAATGTCTACTTTGTTACCTCAATTATATATCTGAAAGTGAGCTTGTTCTTGAAATTGAACAGGGCCTCTAGCGTGCTTCCATTATCAACAAAATAAATAAATCTAGTTGTGGCCTCATGTATTGGTTCTTTGATTTACTAGAAGTCACATGTCACTGCATCCTAATTCTGGTTTCTAATGCCTTCTATTTGAGTTACATTAATCTGTTATTAACACCTTGCTATCTGCTATTATCAGCTGGTTGATGCCTTTGGGATAGGTCTGTTAAACTAACAAGTTACTGAGCATTTTGTAGATTGGTTTGTCTGCTTGTCATGTAAATAAATTTGCAGTGAATCTTGTTAGATAATCTATTCTTAGCTTTGAAATAATATCAAATGGTTGTAAATTGTAGAATATCTGCTGTAACCCTTTTCTATAATGTACTAAACCACTTGTTCCTAATAGGTGGTTTATTGTTGCGGCATCACCATTTGTTCTTGATGTTGCTTGTTGAGTAGTTGAATCACTTGCGATGGATTACTCATGTTGAATTCAGGTCCACTCTTATTTAACAGTTTTATTTAATTCTTGTTTTTTTTCTCTAGTAATAATTTGAATCCCTCCTGGATCAAACCATGAAGGAAGAAAAGAATATAACCGAGCCTTGCTGCCATTTTTCTGTTGTAACTCTTGATATGATACACAGAATAAAATGGAAAAATGTTGTATTGGCACTTCATTTTATATAAGTTGTAAGTTCATGCAACATAAATATCTTTATTTTCCTTCTGTGATGACTAAGAAATCTAGTCTACTTTTCATCCACTCAAGAGAATAATTCTTATATTTCAGTTGCAACCAAATGGTTGAATAGAGAAACAGATTTAAGCAATTAAAATGATTCTTTGCTCCTAACTTTTTGGTTTTGACTACTGCAAAAAATTACTTTCCTATGTCAACAACAAAGGAAGATGAAACTCATTAGTTACCAATTTTGAAAGAATGGATACTTTTCGGTTCTGCAGTTAAACTGGAAATCATAAGTAAATTTTGGGGGTTATTTTCTGTATTCAAACATTCAAAAATTTACCCAAACATGGATACATTTTTGGATGGTTCACTTACATTTTTTTTCTTCAAGACTTTGCCATTATAATCTGAATGATCAACAAATCATATTAGCATAACCTGTCTTCTGAAAATTACTAATTCTCTTTATTCTAACTGTGACACTGAGCTATCAGCCCATTCACGGCGCGAAGCTGTAATGTTTCTTCCACTAGTGTTTTGGGGTTGATTCCTAGTCACTGCCACCAGCCTGTGTCCCGGTCAATCGGCAGTCGTCGCTATCCGGCGGAATCCATTGGTCAGGGTACCAATATGTGACACTGGCCTGTCCAGGATCGAATTCACACCAGCTGCAACCGGTTCTATACCATCTCCGTCATTCCCAGCTCACTTTCAACATCTGGTTACCAAAGTAACCAAAGTAACTGCTTCAATCTCAAGTCTAACTTACGTTCTGATTTTGATCTTAGGTAGATGAGATCAATCAGACGTTGGGCCATACTGTAAGATGAGTCCAGACTGGAGGTTATATCACACAAGCGTAAAGAAAAAAAATACAAATAAGTGTATCAAGTATGTTAAGAAATAACAAATTAACTTTATCCGTCTGTTATATACAGGAGTGTTTTTCTCCCAGCCCGTTTTCTATGGAGTGTAACATTTCTACGTTTCAAGAAGGTTTTGGTATCTTAAGTCAACTGATTTAGGTCTTAGTTGCTGGCTTGGCTTCGTTCATCAGTATAACTTGCTATTGGTAGGATATAAGAAATCGGAGGTCATGGAATCTCTCGGTCAGCTTCTGCAAGGCAACACTCTGGTTCCCGCTACTCGAACTGAAATGAACCATTGACTGTACTGTCAACTAACTCTAACTAACTGTTGAACGGCCTGAGGACGTTCATTTATATGGGTACCGACCAAAAACCGGTGTGGGGTTAGATGCGGTCTGGGGTTCTCGGCAAGTCTCGATTTCCAATGAGAAATCTCTTTGTTCTCAGGCCAGGAAAATTGATTACTTCCTATTTTTGGAAAATTAATCACTTTCCATTTTGGGGGGTTGTCTCCCTCGTCCGTGAGCGGAGGTCGGAGGAGAGCTATCCTCCTAAACTCTTCCTCTCTCACATTGATATCTCATACCAATCCCTTCAGTGGGCGTTAATAACTTCTCTGTCCTTCTCATCCATTTACCTCCGCCTATCACCATTGTTATCATTCGACCAAATGGCAAATAGCCGTGCGGGTGTGGCTAAGCTGGCCTCCTTAAAATTATAACCTAGAATTTTTTGTTTACAAAATTCTTTTTTTTCCCATTGGCCAAAATTTTTACGAATCACACGTTGCCACTTAAAATCTATCAGATCTTTTGGTCACTCAGAATCCACTTAGCCAGCACTCTTTACCAATTCCATCAATCACTGTCAATTTTGCCATCCGGTCCCTTAATGAAGTTAGCTTTTACTGGAACCCTTGTTTTCTTGAGAAATTAAATTCCTTATCACCACACTATCTTTTCTCATGCCCAAAATTTTATAATCACCATATTGCTACTCAATGCATTGGCACCCGAAGGTGACACTTTGGTAAAATAAATAACAATTCTCTCCACCCCGTATCAGGATAAATTTTTTCTCATGCCAAAATTTCTACAAATACCATATGGCTTTGCCTTGCCGGCACTCAAGATAAAAAGAAATAAATGATATCTTGGGAAGATAATTAACATTGATTCTCTTTACCCCGTATCAGCAATCATCTCAGGATGAAATTTTTATGACTGCCATGTGGTCTGCCTGATATCTTAAATGCTTTGCTTTTTTTGAATTCTCGTGTTTCCCTCGGCAAGGCATTTCTTTACAACAATATTAATCAATGTGTCAAAATTTCACATATGACTTTTCTACGGGTCTACTGTCTTTTGTGAAAAGTAACTTTTTTCACAAAATAAATAAAATCTTTTAAATATCAAACGTTATATGTTTCGGGCTATCCTCTCTCCGTTTCCAGCATTTCCTTGTTTAATTTTTATGGTTAATTAGTTAGCCAATTACCATAGCCAAATAGTGTCACAAACATTTGAATCTGTACCTTATTTTAGAACCTTTGCTCGAATGACTTTTACTGGGGAATCAGGTGAATTCACTTTTTAAACAATTTGTGCAGTAATTTGAAGGGGACAGAGATGCTACCTGAAAATCACCTGCATCACTTTCATGTCAGAAATGCCTGATGATATCATACTGAACTCTCTTCTGAAGATATTTTCTCAGAATATGAGCAATAAGACTATATGCAAGACTGACTGTGCATGTTTAAGTTTGTATATGTACATACCCGCATACTAGTTTGACCCTATATATTTTGTACATTTTTTTTAGACTCGAGTGTCTGGCCATCTGATAATGCTGTTGGTAAAGGGAAAACTTTCTTTTGTCGAATGCTGATCAAGCCTTCAGGTAAACTCCATTCATTTGTGTCTCTGTTAAATTTTAAATGAACTGTTGAAAATGAAAAGAAAAGATTATTTTTAGTGATATGTAGTCAAAGAAGAAATAATGAAAGCTTATTTATTACCAACATGCACAGGCATACTAATATCTTTGCCTGTGTTTCATTTTGGCAGCATTTCTTATAGTTTTTTTATTGAATTTATTATACTACAATTATTCTTATAACATCTTTAACCAATAGACCCTGTTTATCTTTGTAAAATATCTAATATAATTATTTCTGCATAGTCCTAACAATTTACAAAGTTCATAAAACTTAAAAAGTCATTTTAATTTCTATAGTTTGTTTATCTTTAAGGGGATGATAGTGGTGATGATGCTCAGGTGGAGCATATGCAGATATCCACTGCAGTCCAGCCATGCATTGGGGAAAAATTTTCTGATTCTCAAGAGGATTCAGGTATGTTTTAATTTTTCAACTAAGGCTTCTTTAATCAGTGCAGTTTGACTTGATTTTTAATTTAACTGTGCAATTTGTCATGTGCTCACAAAACATGATTTCCAAAATGCAAGGGAGAGAGGTGTTATATTTTAACTAGGATCATCAGAGGTTTCAAGTCTTTCAATGTCAAACCTCCTTCAATGGTTGACCCAATCAAGGCTGATCAGATACTGATTCACCTCCCACAAGTGAATACCACTTGATACAGCTCCACTGTTTCATTTTGTGTAAGAAAAGTAATTGGGCAAAATTTAACATTTGTACCCGCAAATAATGTCAATCAAAAGGACTGTTTTTCTCTTGACACCACTATTACTGTATATTCCCACAGCAATTTTAGTAAACCTGTCTATATTTGTGAGATGAGGTATTATGTATACTATTTACATTATTCGGACTATTGTCCTCATCTTTGTCGCCATATTTATTATTACGTTTCTGCCAGTGGTTGGAATATCAAACTGAACCCTTTATTTCACTCACTTGTGTAGACTGTTCTAGTTCCATGTCTAATGGATGTCAGTTATCAGTTATTTTAATTCCCCTCTCCAAGTTCTCCACCGCCTTAACTAGGTATTCAACTCACGCTCTTTGGGTCCTGTCACTGGATCTAACTAACGCCTTTATCCACTGTGCCATGTGTCCTTGAGGACATCTGTGTATAAATTTCTGGATATTATAAACCTAATGTCATCAGCAATCATTTCTTACCAGTGCTCATATTGCAATTTCTGCTGTTATCATTGCACGTTTTTACCAGAGCTCATATTGCAATTTTATTGTTGTTATTCCTTTTCTCTGGCACACTCCTTATTAGTGGTTCCATATTGTATTCATTTCTATGCTTGGTCGACTCGGGAGATTTTTGTGGCCTAGCGTATGTGCTGATTGCTTAAGTTTACGAATTTTCCAATGATGTTCTTTGTCTATGATCTCAACCTGATCCCACAGAGGGTGATGATCTCCCTTTTCTTTCCATATGTGGTCAGCCACACCTGATTTTTTTCACCTCCCTCGTGTTACAGCTTTCTGGTGTTCTTGAAGCCTTACCTTTACCTGCCTGTCTCCCCTTTATATTTCTTTCCACAGCTGCACGGGATAGCGTGCACAGAGTCTTTAGTCATGTTCTCCTCTATGGGGGGTGGGGGTCTTACTCAGGAGAGATATCTGTGAAGTGTCATCTAGCTTTTGAAAGTTGTCCTGATGTTATATGGATTGCAGATCCTTTGTATTTTCTCTGATAACCCATTCACATAAGGCAGGCAGACTGCTTTCTGGATGTTGTTTCCCTCCTCCTCTTGTACCCCCCTATCCCAGTTTTTTGGGGCTGCTGCCATGTACCCAGGGTGGTGGTTGCATTGTAGGGTACTACTTATACTGACCAATTCTTTATCTAATGTCTCTGGGTTGCCACTTACGACTTTTGCTCCATGTTATAAGCAGTAGACGATCCCTTTCTTTACACTATATGGATGGCGGGAGTTGAAATTGAGGTACTGTCCGGTGACATGGTACGTGGAACTAGAATAGTCTACCCCAGTGAGCGAAATAAAGGGTTCAGTTCGTCATTCCAACCACCTGAAGAAGGCCAGAGTGTACAACGACCAAAATGTTGTAATAAATATGGCGACAAAGATGAAGACAGTAGTCCGAATAATGTAATAGTGTAGTTTAACCTATTTTTTAAGTTTTTAATAAAACCCAAACATCTGAAACCAGATTCATACATTTTTTTTTTTTTTTTTTATAGAACTGACATGCATTAAGCACTAATTTTATTACAGTGTTTATCTACAAGAATAATTTTATCTTTACAATTTAATAAAAATATGTGAACCAACTGCAATGCAATATTTATTATTTATCATGTAAAGAAATAATTATAAAAACAAATTTTTAATTTCATAAATTAATAAAAATGTATGTAAGCAAGAGAACAAGAAAATTTAAATAAATGTGACTGAGTAACTAATTATAAATTTAAAAAAATGCATTTTCTGGACATTTCTTTTATTCACTTTCACCAAATAAATTCACTAAAATAACTTGTGAGCATTTGGATTTATGTTTATTTTTCTAAAAAGAAAAAGAGAAAAATAAGTACTATTTATTATTAGATTTGTTTATTTACAAGAACAGTATTTAATAATTTTCTTGTCAATTCTAGAGAAAAAAGGAGAATCCAGAATTGTTATTAAAATTGTGAAAAAAATTTTTTTTTTTTTTTTTTTTTTTTTAAGAATAAAAATTGCTGAGGAAGTATACAGTAATACCAATGTTAAGAGAAAAACTGTCCTTTTGATACACTTTTTTTTTCTTTCTTTTTTTTTTTCTGATACATTTGTTAAACTCTGCTAGTTCAATTATTCAGGAATTTTTTTTTATTGTAAAATTTAAGTTTATATTTTAATCAGGAAATTGAATTTTGATTAACTTTAAAGTATGACAATGGTCTGGGTAATTGCTTTTCTCCAATTATTGAACATATCATTGCATTAACTTGAATCGCTGAAAAAAATCTAACCCAATGAAATCTATTTAAAATGTTATTCTCTTTTTCAGAGCGTCAGTCTTGCTTACTCTGTATAGCTAGGCGGGATAAAATGCATGATAAGTCAAATACGAACATGAAAAAATTTACTACAAAACTTGATTTACAAGGAAAAATAATTGCCTGTGACACTAGGTAAGCTTATGGTTTTCATTATCAAAGAAATTTGCTTTTGGGTTCTTATACTTTAAGCTAAATATTTTGTCATTCTTTCTACAAAAAAAATTTTTTTCTCTCTCCTCAAAATCATTTAGAATCTTTCTGTATTTTTTTTCCTTCATTTTTACACTACATTTAATTTACTTCTATTAATTTTATATCAGAATCATTTTAAAATTCTAGAAAAATCTCTTTCTATGTTACCAAATTATTCATGCTTTTTTACAGTTTTTAACATGATGTAGTTTATAATAAACAGAATTCACCTCAGCATGGTGTCATTTAATTTGTCAATTTTTTGTAGCATTTTTTAACTAAAAATTAAATATATAATTAATAAGTCATGATTTCTTTCCTGCAATAATTGCTTATTGATTTCTTTCTAAAATTAGTTGGCATTTTCTCTCTAACTTTACAAAACCTTTTGTGTAAAAATGGATTATTTCTTTAATCCTTGCAATTTTCCACAAATATTTCAGTCTCCATTCTTTTAAATTATATTTTTTCTGCTAGATGAAAATTTTGAATATTTTATTTCAGCCAAATTTCTGGTAATCATAATAAATACTCAGACCTTATTGGACGTCGCCTCCAAGACTTATGTCACAGTAGTGATGTACCTAATGTAAACCAGCATTTACAAGATGGTAAGTACTTCATTGCTATAACTTGAGTATGTCTCAAAAAAAGGTTTCAAATTACTTTTTTTCTTTATTTTTGCAAATAAATTCAACATTTTTACCAGTGTTTGTAAGTATTTGCATATTCTTCATTACAGACATGAAAAGTATCATGGTTAGCCTGCTGACTAGTATTCTTTTTAGATGGAAGACACTAAATAGATTACTATTAACAGACAAAAAAGATCAAGACAGGCTTCTCATGTGAGCTTAATCCTATGTCCTTATTCATTGTTTTTTTTTTTGTTTTTTTTTTTATTCCTCTTCTAAAGTAATTTTAATATTCTTTTCAAATTTCCCTTGAACATTTTTAATTCTTTAATTATATAATCACAATAAGATATATTCTATGGTATCATTATTTTTAATGACTTAAAAAAAAATTTTAACTTTTTTTTTTTTTTTGTGTACATTTTCATTCCTTTTCAGTTGGGAATAGTTTTCTATAAATTATTTATTTTCAGGATTGCAATAAAAGCTGGAATACTCGATTCTGTTTTAAATATTAAATTAATGCAACTATTATGATGTATTTTCTCATTAGTTATTTCTTTAATTCCAGCAAAATTAATTTAATGCAGAATAACCATTTGATAGCTATTTTTTATTGACCCAAGAAAGATTGTATATATTGCCAGTTGTAAACTTTTATACAGGTTTTATTGATCTAATCTTGTAAATTTTCAAATGATGTCACCTACTATCTTCAGTATCTATCATCTACATGTTAAATGCAAATGTCAGTGTGTCACACTTTTTCAACTTTACTCCTAGAGGCCATAGCCCTACATGTACCATTTTGGAGTCAGGTCGACTCCATAAGCAAATTAAAAACATTCAGGACCAGATCCGGAATCCTGAAATTTTGGATTCCCAAGTTTTCATTATTGCAATTGTTTTCAGATCCCACCATCTTGGCTTCTACTGATAAAACAATTAAAGAGACACAACTCTCTAACTTTCAATAGCTCATGTTCAAATGAAAAAATTACTGTTCTCAAATTAGTGTTTCAAAATAAAATTGTCTGTTTTCAACTTCACTCCTAGAGGCCATAGCCAACATATCATACCATTTTGGAATCAGGCCAACTCCGTGAGCAAATTAAAAATATTCCAACCTGGATCTGGACCTGCAATCCTGAAATTTTGTATTCCCAAGTTTTCATTATCGCTTTTTCTTTTTTTTTATATATAACAATTTTTGTAACTCGGAAATAAATTTGGGAATAATCGAAATTATTTGTGAAATCCAGCGAAAGTCAACCATGGAATAATAAAAATAATTGTTGTTTGTATGGGGAAATAAAGACTGAGATACATCAAATTGTCTTTAAATTAAGTGGCAGCAGAAGAATTATTGTTGAACTTTTAAAAGGTAGCCTTAAATATTAATGCAATGCTTAAATTCAGCGATTAATTTTGAATTCACCTGTAGTTTATTGTTTCTTATCGCATCTACTACTCCCTACCTATCGTGATGAAGGCCTGATCAAGAGCCCTCTACAAGAGCTACCTTAAATGTCACCCAATAGGGTGGCTTTTAAGCTAGTTATTTAATATATTCTTGTGTTTCTAAAACTCTAGCTCTTTGTACAGTTTATACCTTTTCAAATCTTTATTATTGTAATGTGACTTACCTTCTGGATTTTATTGATAGAATATGTGTGGTATTGATGTACATCATTTTATAGTTCAGTAAATCTGTTTTTATTTATATTTTGCCACTCAGACCAGCAATTCACATCTTAGTTTTTATACTCACATTTCAACCACTTTACTTTCCAACTTCTGTCTCTCTTGATACTCAGTGAACTTCTTAGAATTTCAGATTGAATCTTTTCTTCAGTCTTTATGGAATCAGATTTTTCTTATTCCACTTTAACCATCAGGCAGTCTAGTTTAAAATTCTGGAGTCTTTAAACTAATGTCTGTACTCAGGTGATATAACCAACCCATGAAATCTCAACCACCTTGAGATGTCTATCAGAGATGCTTTCAATCATACCAACCAGGTGGTGAGCTTAAATATTGAGAGCTTATTCACCAAGGTACCAATGATGAGGCTTTGTCAACAGATTGATACAACTTAGGATTGGGTCTTTTCTCTGAGATCATAAAGGAACTTAATAGATACCCTGATGAAAAGGTTGACATTCTGTGTGCATACAACATATTCTAATATAGTTCCACCATGAAGAATGATTAGCTATGGGATCACCATTATCTCCAGAATTGGCAAACATATATAGATTACTTTTAAGAAATGTCTGTGGAAACCTCGTCATGAAAACTATGTGACTAGAATACCTAGATGATACCTTCATATTCTGGCCTCAACAGTAAGTTGTGCGAATGCTGCTGGATCATGAAAACTAAAGAAAACCTTCCATACAGTTCACAATATAAAAGGATGTAAATCAACTAACTTTTCTGGTTCTAGTAATTCAAGATATCCAAAATCATATGCCAACATTTCCAGACAATACCTAAACTTCAATTATCACCATCCATGTAGTGTAAAGTAAATGATTGTTTCAACATCAGGCCATAACTGAAAATAATCAGAATTAGGAACACTCTTCAGAGTAGTATTTACTCTACAAACATTAGCTTCAATGAACAGACTGAAGAGTCTGTCATACATAATGAGTACATCTGAAAAAATTCAAAGGGTCATAAAATATGAGGGCTATATTCAAAAGCAGTAATTTGGATCTCTGCTGAACCAGGCTGCCCAATACCATCCTACCCACTCCAGAAATGTATTTCATTTCATCGCATGTCGTTGTGGTAAGGAATGTAAAGAGACAGGAGAGACATGCCTGACCATATATGGAAGGAAAACGATGGTCATCAACTCTTTGATGTCAAGATAATAAAAAACAACAGAGGAGAATTAGGCAACTGAAAGAATGGGCACACATGTTAGGTACTGGCAACCTCTTTGGTTGACCTAGTGAGAAACCAGAGCCAAGTTCAAATTCCAATCAGGCTTGTTACATTTACTTGTGTGCAAATATCTTTGGGAAAGGTATGAATTCATCTCCTCTCTCAGATATGAATTAAATAGTAGGACTTGTATCTGGTGGGAAAATCATTGTTATTCTCTAATAATCTTTTAATGTAATATCCACTCAGAAATGAAAAAATATTGTTACAATTCAAAACCCACAAAGGGTTAATTAGCTGTAGAGAAACAAATCTATCAATCAATGACTAAATTAAAACAGTTGACCTAGTATGATTAAGAAAGGACACTTTAAAAGAAATAATTCCATCCTCTGGATAAGAAGACTTGTTTAGTTCTCTTGTTCTGATTTAGGAAGCTGGCTCCTTCTTTACCTCCTCTCTCCACCGAATGCACACATTAGGTCTAAGGCTCCAGAATTTCAACACTAGATTGCCCAATAGATAGATGACCTATTGAATTAAAGCATTAGTCAAAAGACACATATAGTTCTCTCATAGTTGTTAATTCAATCCCTGGGTCTGAAAGTCTTGAAGAACCAGACAAGGACACAAAGATGAATAAGATAGGTGAATATTTGCTGATATGAAATCTCTCTTACACATGAAAGGTAGAATGAGAACAGTATCTCTATGGATTAAATAAATTCCAAGAGGTATACCAAGTATGAAGACAAATTTCTCAGAAGGTTGGTGGGTACAACAACCAAAACATTGTAAATAGAAAGATGAGTATGTTGGTCTGAATAGAAAAGCATATAATTTTGAATACCAAAAATTCTGTTTTATATTTTTGTTCTTAATGTAAATATGAACTAGAATACAAAAAAAATGTTTAATCTAATATCATTTATTGAAGAGATTTTTTTATTTAGCAAAACTAATAATCTTTAAATTTTATAAGTATTATATAAATGTTAAGAACTAAAGATTTGATACACAAATTTATCAACTGTATAGTGGAATTCAAAATTATCCCTAAAGTATAATCAGTTTCATTTAAAATAAAAAAAAAAAAATAAAAAATGCTCAATAAATGTTCTCAATTTCTATCCTAGAAAAAAAAATACCTTTGCTCAATTGTCATCATTGCAAGGCTCAGTTGGAATTTGCACTTGCCTACTTAGAAAAAAATTGACTTCTGGAACTGTTTTATGGAGTGATGAGACTAAAATTAAATTGTTTAGGCACAGCTAGTGTGGGAGAAAAGAGAAGGTGGGAACTCCATCTGTAATGTAAAACATGGGAGTAGTAATCTTATGCTTTCAGGGTGTTTTAGTAGAAATTGAACAGATTATAATAAATATAAGATTCTGCCAGGTGCCTTTTTGGAAGATATTTTACTTTTTAACATAATGATGATCCTAAATGAACAAGTACACTGAAAAATTGACTCGGCAAGATCAATGACTGACTTTCAGACCTGAATCCAGTAAAAATTTGTGGCAAGAACTTCATTCAAGACAACTTTCAAATTTAGAGTCAGAGCAGTTAGCTTTCAAAGGATAGCACAGTATACTGAAAGAAACTTGTAGATTAGTTAGTATTTACAGAAAACAAAGTAAGAACCTCTACTAAATTTTCAATACCTATGGTTTAAAATGAATTTTTAAAAATAAAGCATTCTTGAAGCTTTCTTTTTAGCTTTAATTGAAAGCTTAATGATTAAATTTACTATTTTCAGTAAGCAGAATAATCTGGTGTATTTCAAATAGAAATTATATTAATTGGAATCTTAACATTTTGGTTGCTTTCAGAAAATCGGTAAAAATCAATAAATATTGACCATTTTGGCACATTTGTAAATAAAATTTAATTTTCAGTTTAAAAAATCTACCAAAAATAAAATATATTTGTGACACATTACTTTAACAAATTTAAAGTTAAATTAATCTGATTTGAAACAAATATTACTTATAGCATAAAACACAGTATACAAGCATTTCTTAACCATAGGGTCTTGTTTTTCTGATTTGTTGATCAATTGATTGACATCCTAA